AAAAAAAAGGGGGGGGGGGGGCGGTTGTATGAGTCACGTGTAAAATTATTTTATTAAAAGAATGTATAGTCGAAAATGAATTTGAGGAAAAAAATGATTTGAAAATAAAAATCAGACTATGACTAAGTTCTTTCTTCAGTTTCTTTTGCCCCCCCGGAACAAAAATATTTGTGTAACATTTAAAAGGAAAACATTTTTTCCGTCAGATAAAAAAAGGATAAATTGGTTAAGACGAAATAATTAGATTATTCACATGGATAATTATATTCCCACCCCAATTTTTATTTCTTTCACTACATTTTATTTGTACTCAAAAGTTTTTAATCTTTGCTTATTATAGAACTTATATCCCTAACAATTTTCACATCATTCTTATCCTCAAATTTTTCATTAGTTAAATTATTTTGTATTGGATAATAGTTTTATGTTGAAAAGTTCGTTGAAATTGAGTAAAACAACTTATTTTCCATCATATTTTAAAAATAAATAAATAAAAAGTGGGAAAAAAAATATTTTCCCTCATTTCAATGCATGAAAACAAAATATTTTGATATAAATTATCACCAAGGATGAGACGTACTAACTAATAAAATGTTGAAGATAAGAATTCGATAGAAAAAAAGTTAAGGAAATAATTGTTACAATTGGTAAAGATTGAAAATTTTGACTGTAATTAAAATGTAGTGTAACAAAAAAAAATTGTAACATCAATATCTATTCACATCTATTGTCAATTTTTGGCTAAATTTGACATGTTGACCACAAATTATTAATATCCCACTAAAACATAATCACTTTTAAGTTGACTATAGAAACATGATAATGCCTTTTGTCTATATGGATGCTTTATACTTATCACGCCTCATTATTGTTCTTCAATTTACTATGTTTAGAGTCATTCATAATAAATACACTATGCTTTCACATTCTCATCCTAACTCATATATTAAAAGAGGGGCAAGGCTTTGGCCGGCTATTGTTCATAGTAATATTCATATGCGTGACGGCATTATTATTATTATTATTATTATTATTATTATTATTATTTTTATTTTTAACGTTGGGGGGGGGGGGGGGGGGTGAAAATGTTAATGATTTNGGGGGGGGGGGGGGGGGGGGGGGGGGGTGTTCAAAATGACATTTTTTCATCATTTTTGGCTGCCCTATAAATTGAAATGACGTTATTTCATCATTTTTGGTTGCCCTATAAATTGAATTTTTAGTGTGCATTCACTTAATTTGGTTCTCTTAATTTTCTCTCTACACGAGAGCCGAGCGGGCTTGTAAATTTATTGTTCGTCAATCGATTTATCTTGGAAGTTGCCATTTTAGGAGTCAATATTTGATGTTGAGTGATATGATCGTCGGCTGATTTATCTATGCACCTCACCCGTTTTTCTCTTGATAGTGTGATGTAGGGTTTTGTGAGATCCAAAGTTTTGAAAAATTCACGAAATTGTTAGAATATTATGAATTTTGAGTAATGTTATTCAACACCAATAATGTTAAACACCAGTTTAAGTGACAACCACATGAAATTAAATGATATATTTACTTAAATATAATATCATGTGATTAATTTAATTGAACATATCAAGTATGATCACCTACATTAGTGCTCTAATACCACTGTTACTAGATGACATTATTCATGAATTTTTGTACTTTTCAGTCTGTTCTAGATTTTGAGATAACTTCGTAGGATTTCTTGGATTTCAGTTGGTGTTTCTGTATAGTTCCTTCTTCTTCTTCTTCTTCTTCTTTTTTAATGAAAAGGTAAATATTTTTGTCCATTAAAATAGTTCATTTTCCTGAACTTTCATTTCTTTACAATACTTTTCAAGGTATGCATTGTAAAAGCTCTACATTTGTTTTCTTTTTTAATTTTCTGAGTTTCCATATGGAGTTTATTGTCAGAAAATCTTTGTACTGGGGTTTGGATTTTCATTAATGTGATGTCTATTTATGCTGATTGAGTTTTTTCTTTGTTGTTGTAGTTTTCTTTGTGGCCGTTGAAGTTGGTGCCACGAAATATATTTCAATTTTTTTATTTTTTGTATACTTTACAAATTGGTACGAGTGTAACGAAATCACTTGAGCGGCCGAACCAACGAACCGCTCAGCCCGTTTGTCATGTCTATCTAACGTCACTGATGTTTGAGCGTCAGTTTAGGTAATCACACTTGATAAGTTTAATCAAATAAATCATGTGGCAATGCATTTAAGTGGATTTATCATTTAATGTCATGCAACCACCATCTAAATTGGTGCTTGACACTAGTGGTGATGAATATCATTACTCTTATTTTTTTTTTAATTAGTTTGCAAATTTCACTTAGCTTCTTATAACGTCTTTAGTTTCGTGAACCCAAATTGTCACGTCATATTCTTTTGTAACTGAATTAATTAAAAAGATTTGTAGAAAATAACTAAATTTTAAACATCACATTTATAACGGTAAAATCTCGTCGACAGCAAAACTCATTTGATTAATTTAAGAAATTTGATTAAACTTTAAATTCCGAGTTTTCGAAATAACTGAAATAACAAGTACGTTAATAACGTTCAAACATGTAAATTTTTAAAAGTAAATAATGTCATTCATTAAATCGTTGCCATCACTACCCATCAAACCCGACCGTCTCCAAAATCTGCAAATATTGTTAAAATAACGGAATGAGTATTTCGATGAAATACTCGGTAAATTCATCGCCGATAACTAATTTACAGAATAATTGAACACATAATCATGCAAAATATACAGTGACGTCATCATCGTCATTATTGGCTCATTTTCTTGAAAATCATAGGCTCTTTAAAATCATAAGGTGTGAGTAGTCTCGTCTCATACATTTAATTACATAAGTTATGCATAATATTCTCATCTTATCTCATAAGAGATATTCGTCTCTTCTCATGCATTAAAGCATATAAGTTATGACAATTATAACAATATCATATATCTCATATGACATATTCTCATCTCATGCGTTAAAGCATATAAATCACGTAAATTCACATAATACATGCAATTATAATTTAAACTAATTAATGAAAGCGAGTCTACCTCAAATTATCTTGAGTCTCGTAAAAAGTGGAGCGGGACGTAAATCTCCTAATAGTCCGTACGTTTCGTCTAACCAAAATAGAAATTAGGTTTTGAATTAGTATTCCGAAATTTAAAGTTTTAAAACGATAAAATAAAGTTTATGGACCTAATTGGATATTTGTTAAAATTGAATTTAACAAATCTAAGGGCTGAAAATAATATTTTCAAAGTAATGGGGCTAAATGTGGGAAATATGGACTCTAGGGACTTAATTGGAATTTATTGAAACTCGAAAATAACAGTTTGATGACTGAAATAAACTTTTGCAGAAACTAAGGACTAATTGTGAGAAAACAGAAACTTTAGGGACTGATTTACTAATTACTGAAACTAAAAATAAAAGCTTAAGAACTGAAATTAAAACACTTAAAACCTTGAAACTGAAATAAATCAATTTAAAACCTGAAAATCACCATTTTCCTTTCTCTCTCTTTCATTTACATGTGAGAGAGAGAGAGAGAGAGAGAGAGAGAGGAGGGGAAAAGGGGCAGCCCCCATCCTCCAATTCCCACCAACGACCGTCCGATCGGTGGTGGTGCTGGTACACGGGGCAAATGGGGTGGGTTTTCATTTGGGCGAAATGGTTCGAAATTGGGAAATGTGGCTCGATTTTCTTTTAGTTTCCTTGGTGGCCCAAGCTCGAGAAATGGGTTGGGGAAAGTGAGGTAAGTTATGCGTTATGCTATTCTTGGTTTTGTGTGGCTGTTGGTGGAAGGGTGGCTGTCGATTGGGAGTGAAATGTGGCGGTTTGAAGTTGATTTGTGGCTGCTTAGGTGCCGATTTTGACAGTGAAAATGGTGGCTGTTTGGTGTGGGTCGTAGGCGGTGGCTGGTGGTTCTAGATGGTGATGGTGGCGTGTGAAATGGTGGTGATTTTGGGTGGTTGCAGCTTGCGGTTTGCAATCGGGTTGGTGGAGTTGGAGTTGGGTGTTCTGCTGGGATGGTGGCCGTGTGTTGGCTATGGTGTTTGGTGTGTTGGTGATGTGGTGGTTGAGGTGGTGCAATGGGGTCTGTGTGAAATGCAGTTTGTGTGGTGATGGTGGTGTTGATGCTAGAAATTAATGTTCTAGCATCAACATTGGTCTCCAAAATGGGGAGA